TAACTCAATCTCATCAACATACATACCCGAAATTCTGTTAATCTTTCCTCCGATCTTGTGCTGATAATATAAGGCTTCCTTTAGAGTATCAAAGGCATAACTTTTATGGGCTTTGTTCGTGTTCTTCTCAAGTAGCCCGAAGTTAACATTAGCAATTAATTTTTTGATTCTGATGTCTTCGGCTGGTTTGTCAGAGATGTCTGTCTTCCATAATTCCGCTGTGATCTTCCTATAATCCACCTTGTATACTCTGGATGGTTGCTTATAATAAAGAATCTTACATTGCTTCACGAAGTGCTTTAAAAACATACCATATACTAAAAGGTAGGCTTTATTGAAAAATAAACTCCGCTTGGTGGGCTTGACCAAGTAGAGAGTTAGATCGTGAAAATCTGTCACTGTGCCACTGAAGGGCTTCCAGATATCAAACTGAGTGAATACCGGTATCTCGGCGATCTTGTTAAACGCAGATGTGTAAGCTTTTCTTACATCTATCTCCGTAGTCACTTCTGGGGTATAAAAGTATTTGTCGTCTTTGTCTGTCTTAGGGTTATATAAATAATAATGTTTATTTATTTCACCCGTTGGTGGGATGGTGCGACACTCCTTAAAAATCTCTACATCTACTTCATTGTAATATGACTTGTGGGTCGGCTTGAAGAGGGCAGTGTTAAAATTAAACATTGCTTTAGACATCTTATTGTAGATCTGCTCCGTTCTCACGCAGATGGAACCATCGATAGAATTATTTACTAAGTTCTGGGTCTTAACCTTGTATTTAATCTCTTTGTGGGTCTTGCTGTTTATCTTGATCTTAAACTTGAAGTTAAGTTCAGATACGAACCCTGCACTAAATCTAACCTCTGGCTCATACCCTGCCTGTTTGCTAAGATAAAAGAGATGAGACAGATCGTAGCCATTATATACCAATGTGTATTCGCTATGTTCTGTGTATTTCCTGATGTCGTCTAGGGATGTGATCATTTTACATTCCACTGGCTCCTCCTTCTCGTTAAGGTGATAATCGGAAGATGCCTTAACAGATATACTATAATTACTGTTTTTGGGTAGCATCTGCCGTAACATATTCACATTATCACTTGCTGTGTAGATGTGACTGTTCTTCACTATAGCATATAAGGCTGGGATGTGATGGTTTCTCTTTATCGGGTCGCGCTTATAAATGAGAGTATCAAAGACATCATATATTCTCACTTGCAAGTTAAAATGTTCAAATACCTTCACCATGTCTGTTATAGACGCCCCGTTTGTTTTAAAATCTTCTTCCGTCTTATTTATGATTTTTAGGATGGCTTCTTTTGTGAGTTTGTTCTTCTCTCTCTTCTGGTCTGCCATAAGGGTATCCTTATAATAATCCGTCAAGGTGTTAAACCAACACTCGTTCTTAACATAATGTTCTACTTTAATGGCTTCCTTAAAGGTTTCATACTGTGGATCTAAGGGTGTCTGAATATATCTGTGATACATACTGACATTCTCTGTGTTTGTTAGTTCTTCGTCTTGTGGCTTGAAAGCATCGGCGTTATCTACCCTTTCGGCGTAATTAACTTTAATACAAGCAATGTAACCTTCGGCATAACCGACATCGGCTTTAAAACTGTCATCTGTCATTAATAACATCTTGAGCCTGTGAAAGGTTTTTGTGTCGGGCTTCTCGTCTCTAAATATTCGTCTCCTCGCCAAGTTTTCTATCCACGGTGTTGTGGCTACATTAGCTGATAGATCACGCATATAAATCGGAACGTATGCCCTACCCCTGCTGTCTCTGAAAGATACTGATAAGCCCTGGTGTGATTCTGTCTGAAGTTGGTATAAATGGACATTGATTGAATATGTTCTTGGTTTTCTTGGGTTGGTTCTTCCCGTTCGTTTGTTGTCTTCTTTGGCTTGTGACATTCTCTGGCTTAGTTGTTCTTTATCCTTGTGTTTGTCATAAATCTTGTTGTATTCTTTTTCCGCTTTAGTTTTTTCTTTGTCTGTTTTTGCTGTGGTGAGTTTCCTGATTAAATTGTCTGCTGTGGTGAATTGGGCGATCTTACGATCTGAGTATAAGTTAATTATGTTTTGAACTTTTGTTCTGGTGGCTTGGGTGATGCGGTTTCGTCTGTTGTTATAAAATGTTTGTAGTGCTTCCGTATTGCGCTTCATGGCTTTGGACATATACTAATATAATTAAACTATATATTTATTTTCTTTTTAAGTATAATTTTTCCAAGGATTTTTTAAAATACTAAATGTTTTTTAATATATAGAAATATGTCTAAAGATAAAAAATAATATATAGTATAGTATAATATGAGTAAAAATCCCGAGGATATGACAATGGATGAAATCAAAGAGCAACTCGCCATATACAGCAGATTGTATTACAACAAGCGTAGGAATGATGAAAAGTATATGCAAAAGAAACGAGAATCTGCACTGCGACACAATCAGAGAAAGAAGATCAAGGAGTATGAAGAAGCTAACAACATCAAACTGAACCCTGATGAGTTGACAGAAGAATTGCTATCTGAAATAATGAATGCAAAAAAGCCTTTTAAAGCAAAGCGCGGCACACCCAAATATGATATGAGCAAGTTCAAGATCATAAAGCCGATGGATGGCGAATGATGATTTAATTTAATTATTAAATCATTATTTTCTTTTGTTTTTATATGAGTGAGAAACAAAAAATTATTAATGATGTGTATTTTGATCGCGCGGGGTTTGGCAGTAGAAGCCGGACTTTAGAAGAAGCGCGGGAGAAAGACAAAACCATCACGATGTCTGATATTAACGAGTTTTTTAGGAAGAATGTTAATCAAAAGCGAAAGCCCGTCGGTTCAAATAGCTTTGTCGCCCCCCATTCAGCATACGAGTATCAGATGGACTTATTTTTTATTAATGACTTGAAAGATCAAAAATTTAGAGTAGGGATGTTAATGATTGACATATTTGATAAGTTTATGCATGTCGTGGCAATTAAAGGTAAGAAGGAAGAAGATTTGGCTAGTGGGATGATTGAGTGCTTAAATAAGATGGGAAAGAAACCAAAAATAATTTATACCGACGACGAGGGAGCAATGAACAAGGAGGCAATACAAGCGTATTTACAGGAACAGAACATAGAACATCACAGGACTAGGGCGCATCCAAATTTTAGCGAGAGAGCTATTAGGACGTTTAAAGATTTATTATATCGTCGTGTTGAAGCCGATCAGAAAAAGAGTAAAGACAATATTCAGTGGCCGGATTATATTTTTGAAATATTATTAACATACAATAATAAAATGAAACATTCCGCTACTGGCTTCACCCCAAAGGATGCCAGAAAACCGAGCAACGAATTAAAAGTTAAACTGCATTTAAATATGAATGCTAAACGAAATCGGGTATATCCTGAATTAAGTGTTGGTGACGAAGTTAAAATATTTAGGAAGAGGAAACCCAATGAAAAAGAGAGAGTGGGCAATTTTAGCCAAAATGTTTATACCATAGAAAGAATTGATGAAAAGTTGGGTCAAAAATATTATTATGTTGAAGGTAACAATAGAGCGTATTTGCGCTTTGAGTTGTTAAAAGTATAATTTTTCTTTTGATAAAAACTTTTCTTAAGAAAACATTTAAAGAAATAACACCTATATATATATATTAACAGGGAAATGTTCAATCAGAAAGAACGGGATGAAATCATCAATGATTTTTTGGATGTTATCAAGGTTAGAGATTACATTAGGGAAAGTAAGAAAAAACGAGATAGTTGTAAATGTAAGGATTGTAAGAAACATGATCGTTATTGCACTTTATACGAGTTGCCACTACCAGAAAATATTATTAACAATATCTATGGCTTTACTTATCGGTGTTGGACATGTGAGAAGACCATAGAAAAAGAGGAAGCATTAGAAGAACGACTTGAAACGAATGATTTGTGTTTATATGATGTTGATAAACTTATTTTAAGCTTGGATCGTTTGTTTCCGATGTATGATACAGTCAAACATGTGATCACAAACATAACTTTGAAGAGATACAACATGTTTAAAAAGTTATTTGATGCAATGATGTTTTGTAAAGACAAAGAAGAAATAAAAGAATGGATACAATACAAAATGAAATATAATGTTAATGCTACAGTGTATGATTTCAACAAAATCGTTAGAACACTATTGAATAAACCTGAGTTTGACTTAATGGATTAAACAAACATAACATTAAACTCTTAATGTTATGGTTGAAACACCACGTGGCCACGTGAAACCAACCCACGTGACCACGTGAAACCAACCCACGTGACCACGTGAAACCAAGCCACGCGACCACGTGAAACCGTGAAACCAGCCCACGTGGCCACGTGAAACCAAACCACGTGACCACGTGAAACCGTGAAACCAGCCCACGTGACCACGTGAAACGTATAACTGGCCCACGTTGCCACCCACGAGGTCCCCTAGAATTTGGCGGGAGCGTCCCGTGGGATTTGGCGGAAGCGTCCCGTGGGATTTGGCGGAAGCGTCCCGTGGGATTTGGCGGGAGCGTTTTGTGGGATTTGGCGGGAGTGTCTCGGAAATATTCAGCGTTCTAACATTCTTGGAGTATCCGAGAAGATTAAGCTTTGATTTAACCCTTAACCCTAAACCCTGAACCAAATTCTACGAGAACCCCTTCGCCCCTTTTGAGTAATAATGCCACCTTAGAGGTAATAGATGGGGTAATGGTTATTCCTAAAATTGTATTGATAATGGGGTAGTAGTCGTGATATATCGGTGAAATGTAGGGGGGACCCTAGGAATTCCTAAAATTGTATTGATAATGGGGTAGTAGTCGTGATATATCGGTGAAATGTAGGGGGGACCCTAGGAATTCCTAAAAATGATAATCTAATTGGTTGGCGGTGGCATTATTGCCCAAAAGGGGCAAGGGGGTCCCTAACTCTTTCTGGAGTTCCCTGTAAGGATTCAGGGCCCAAAACCCATCTCCAGGACTGAGGAGCGGACCCAGCGCCACGCAAACCAGGACGATCCTCGGCTCATGTAATGAAGGAAATGGGAGTTTCCGAAAATAGGGGTACTTTATTTGGGATCCCTTTTAAGAAGGATCGTATTGTATAGGGTAATTACCATATTACGATCTTCTATCCATATTACGATCTTCTATTTTCGGAAATCCCCAAACTGACCGCGAGGGAAGTACGATACTGACAATATGGATGGTATTCCGCGAGAAAAACTCTTCTTAAGGAATCTGCAGAAGGGACTGCGCACCTGTTTGGTTGAAGTTTATTTCTACTCGTGATGGAAAGTACTGAAGTACTGGTGTCAGAGAAGACACGGAGCTATGCAGCATCTTCAGCGTTTCCTGAATGTCCCTGAACCCTAAACCCTGAACCCTAAACCCTAAACCAGGTGCCAGGTGGCCCAAGAAGAGCCAGGGTGAGCCCTACTTCGGCAAAGGCAGCAGGCAGCGTGAGGCAGCAGAGACCAACAATAGCCTTCCTCGGCTCAGGGCGAAAAAAATGGGGGCCTCAATGATGAGAATAAGGCTCCTTTAAGGGATCTCTTTTGGGGTAGTATTATGATGATAGACCTGCTTCAAGAACCCCTTTCGTGGTGATTCTGATTCTTCCGACTAACATACCAGCCGTTGCATGTCTCGGCCTGCGACGCAAAAAGTTCGACTCAAGATGAAGCAGTGGCTCATGACGGCCACCGTCGCCAAGAAGGGAGAGAGTGGCTCAGCAGATGACGAAGGCGCCACATCCAGGGCCATGCTCTTGCAAGTCTCTGACTACTCGGAGGCGGGATCGCCGGCAATCGTCGAAGCCAGCTACACGTACAGAAAGCGAGGTGTGGGAATGTTCTGGGCGGGTTTACTCAATCTGTGCTTCCAAAAGCCCAGCTTAAGCCCCGAACACGTGGCTGCTGAGGGCTTCTGTCTCCATCTTCAGACCACGATTCATGGAAAATGGCTACAGCACGAGCAGCAAGTGCACCTGCTGGGATGACGCTTCAGCCACGCGGGCGGCTTCAGGTCTTAGGTTTCTATCTTCACCCGAGGTCCTGCCTGAATGTGAGCAGCCCGGACCATGCCAACACCTCGCGCCGCCTTGGGCTTCAAACCGGCTTCTTCAGCAGGTGCTAGCGCTGCTAGTGCTGCCGCCGCTAGCCATGCTACCGGTGCTGACACTGGACCTGTGCCGCACAAGACTTTGCAGCGTTTGGTAGCGGCCTTACGACTGATACCGACTACCACTGACTCTTGTTCTGGCTACGGTTGGTTTACACCACGGTGCCATGTTGCATTTTGGATGCTTATTCTTGTGCACCCCTGCACTGCGCTTTATGGACGCATGGGTCGCGCCGGGAGCTTCAGGGATGCTGCTGGAATAGTTCGTGGGCATGTACGTAAAGATTTTAGATATAAGGTATGGCTAAGCATGCATGCGGGATGCATGCAAACTCGCGGACTATACCTGTATGATTGGAGCCACGATGCTTCGATTGGGCCTGCTAGGATGATCGCGGCCCAAAACTGTCATTAATATAGAGGCCTTAATAATTAGAATGGGGTTTTGGGGTATCTTATGCCACAAAACAAAACAAGGAACCCCGCAAAATAGCATTGGTAATTATTAAGGCTCCTATATTTCCGAAACTGCACACTCAGTTGTGGACCACTCGTGCCAAGGCTGCATCCTCGTCCCAGCAACGAGCTGCAAAAGTCTTGCACGAAGCTCCTTACTTACCTTTGGTTAGTAGGGAATGGAGGAATGGGGTACAATTATAACTACTGTCACTACCATTCTTCCATTTCCTACTAACCAAAGGTAAGCTTATGTTGAGCCTAAGATGTCGGGTCTACACAAAGATGCTGGCACTGAGACTTGCGGGTCGGGCAAGCTTGTGGGCTTGTGGATGACAGAGCTGGGTCAGTTGGAAGGGCTAGGCAGCTTTGGGTGCGCAGTTTCAGCTTGAGGTCCCTTCGAAAATTTGCAGGGGCACACGAGGTTTCGAGTGATGTAGTGCCTGTACTACAGTCTCATGAAAACGGCTGCACGTCGTAGGCATCACAGACAAAAGCATGCAAACTCCCCACATGATCCCTCATGACAAGGAACACGGGTATGCGCATCCGACAAAAAGAGTGACAACCCTGCTACTGTATCTCTACACACGACACAGCTACACTAGTCCTACATGCGTATCAATATAATGAACAACTAAATATTCGTATGTATATATATATATACATATATATATATATATATATGCGTACACAACATATCTATATATGTGTGTGTATACACACACATGCATACTCATATGTACATATATATATATATATATATGCGTGTATGTATGTATGTATGGACGGAGGGAGGGATGTCTGTGTGCATATTCGTTTGTATACATGTACCTGTTTTTCCACTTACCCATCCTCCTATGTATGAATGCATGCGTGTATGTATAATCTGAATATGCCTTAATTATCATCGCGAGAGCTGAGGCGAACCTTATTTCCACCTACTATGCATGCTATTTAAGCCGCAGTTTTCATTACCTTCACCTGCACACGATTGCACAGTCTGCCGAAACGGTAAACCCTGCGCCCGACACCCTAAACCCAAACCGTGTACCCCAGACCCGTAGACCCGAAGCCAAAAAAAACCCTGGGCTGGACCCTAAACTGAGACTTGAGGACTCTCTCTGCGGTGGCCCCTTTTAAAGCGAGGCTTCGCCAGCGTCACCGGCCAAGCCGACGCTAAATCCTGCCATTAGCACCGCTTGAAGCGTGAGACTTAGTGCATCTGACCGATTTCGGGTTAGAGTCCTTACTGATGAGATTAGCCTAGTTATCTAATCACAACCCAGCTGATCACACTTACTAAATCCCGTGAGCCTCTAAGCAGGTGAGACAAACAATCACGCGCATGGTTTAGGCGAGGTCAAAACACCTCAGCCCCTGCAGCAGCCTGCTGCGACGGTGTATCCCAGAGACTCCAATGTCCTTTAACTAAGGAATATTCCTTAACTTATAATAGGCTCCCTATTATGATTGAAGGAATATTCCTTAATTAAGGGATATTGGAGTCTCTGGGGTCTGGCTAGAAGCTACTGGTAGTTGACAGCCGTTAACTCTCAAACCTGAAGCTTGCTAGGAGCTTAGGGGTTTGAGTTTCGGGCTCACCTGTTTCAGTCATGGGTTTATACCCCGAAACCCTAGAAACCCCAAACCCCAGACGGTTCAAAACGGGTTGTTGACGTTGTCTTTGGCTTAGCGGCTTAACTCCCGCGCTTTTGCCTCGCAGGCTCCTTCCAGGACGTCTTGAAGGAGCTGCTTTCAAGGCAAAGTCGCGCTTTAAGAGCCCTTTCCGTGTTAGGTTAGAGGGCTTAGGGTCAAAGAGACGAGTGGTGGCGAAAAGAATCCTAGTTCAAACGTGAGCCTGGAGACCGGGAGGCCTGAACCGAGGTTTCCGCAGCATTCGGGGCCTTTTGGTTTCTCCGACGATTTTGGGTCAATACTTGCCAACGCGTTTCTGAAAAAGTAGCCATCCTACTCCTGTAGAGTCGATCTTGGGGGCACCCCTCATGGTCGGAAACTCTCAAATATCTTACACTTCAGAAGCCTCAGAAGCCTAGCGCCCGAGAGGGTGGATCGTTTACTGTGTTACACAAAATATACTACTATGACCATATTGTAACTGTTATAAGTTAGAAATACTATTTTATAACACTTACAATATAGTAGATATTGATTTTGTAATGACTTAGATTATCTCATATGTTTGCTGCAACCCTCGAGGCTTCAAAGATGCACCCCCGGGTAGACGAGTTCTCTCCCAGCGAGCTCAGGGAAGGGACTGGCTGAGGAAGGGGTTCGCGGGCATCGCAAACCTGCGGCGACAGGAGAAACCCTACAAGCTCTAGTTTCAAGAAAAGCCAACTAAAGCGCTGTGATACAGAGAACGGTAGGCACATCATGACATCATGCGCATTGTGATTACCAGTCTGGTGATCATTCCTTCTACTCGGAGCTGGGATATTCCTGCTATTCTTACTGTCATTGCTTTCATCCGTGATTCCACTCGGCTCAAGGCAGCCGCCGGCATCTCTTCAGCAAGGGCCCAGGGTTTCGGGGCTTTATTAGCTTAAAAGCTTTTTAAGCGCAGAGCTCAGGGGTTAGGGGGTTCTTTGGGAGTTTGCAGTTGTAGGGTCTTGGGTGTTGCGGCCAGGTAATTTCTATTGCGTGGGATTCAAGATTTAGAGGCTAAAGGGGTGTTTGAAAACAGCGCGAAAACGGCTCACGAACGGCTCGGGCTTGTTTGGTCAGTCCCAGACCCCAAAGCCCATTCCATGTTGTGCCTGGGCTGCACATTGACCAAGGGAGGGGGCGGCGGCAATGCTGGCACCCAATCTGCAGAGGCTTTGGCTGAGGAACTCCAACATGACGCCAAGCAGTAGGATCCTGGTTATCGATTATCAGGGCTACCAAAAAGGGAGCCTGTCTGCTCTTGATTCTGCCGGGTTCCACTACGCCTTCAGATCCCTGGCCTTTTGAGACCCTGTAAAATTCTATTACAAGCCTATAAAACAAAGGGGTCTTGGGCTCCCTAAACCCCACCTTAACCCCAAATAACCCACCCTTTGAAGGACTCATATAATGACATCATAGAAAGTAGCCCTAAAAATGTGGGTTCCTCAGGGTCCAAGTAACCCCTACATCCCTTGGCTGCCACTTGCGCCCTGGGAACCAGACCGCGGGCTGGACTGCACTGCTGCGCGAAGGTCTGGCAGGTTTGGTGGGGCTGGGTTCACATTTCGGTCATAGCTTTTTTTCTTTTTTTTTGCGAGCCCTTTGTCCTCCCTGCTACAGTCAGAATACCTGGTAGGCAGAGCCTGCTTCGAGGACTGAAGGCGCTTGAGGGAATGGGTTTGGGGTTTAGGATTATGGGCTTTAGGATTCTTGATTCTCTCAACTGCTTGTGGATTTAAAGTCTTGCGGCGCGATAGTACCGACATAGTTCATATTGTGCAGCTCTTGAGTTCTCAAGTGTTTGCGGGTTTTGAATCTTGGGGCTCTTAATTTCGTGATAAGACCTGGGCTCTGCGACACTAATTTCCTCAGTTGCTTGTGGTTCTGAGGTTCTAAACTTCCCACTGTTGGTGTGTTCACGCGTCAGAACTCAGTTGGCGTTCTTACCTTCGCACAGTTCATGGCGTTTCTGGCTGCATCTTCTTAGATATGCCTAGGTTTTCAGGCTCTTGATTAACTAATTGTTCTTGTTGGCATTGGTTCTGAGGCTCTTAACTTCTTAATTGCTTGAGGGTGACGACGTCTTATGTTCGCTGAGCACGTATGGACTTGCTTCGTGACCTCAGCAGGTGTTAGTGGGCTTCGAGATTCTTAGCTTAGCTTCTTAATCCTGGCTTTTTGGGCAATAAGGTTCGTGCTGCCTTAACTGCTTCGTGGTCTTGGAGCTTAGGGCTTGTAGTAGCACTAGTACTAGTAGTACTAGTAGTAGTAGTAGTAGTAGTAGTAGTAGTAGTAGTAGTAGTAGTAGTAGTAGTAGTAGTAGTAGTAGTAGTAGTAGTGGCTCCGGACGGCTCGGAGCAGCTGAGCTGGGGCTCCGAGCAGAGATCGATCCGGAACCATAGAGAAGACCTGCCCACGTCGAGACTTGGTCACAACAGAACAGAACAGAATGTGCTAGAACATACTAGAGTTTGCCATAATCTGATGTACGAACATGGTATACGAATACAATATTAAAAAGACTAGTAATTTCATATAGTATACTAAGTACACTAATAAAGCATACTAATATGTCATGAGTGAATGATAATATTCCTCTCACTATCAGCACTATCAGTGTCATTAGTATCAATCTCAACATGATAGTCGTGAAGCTAGAAGGGGATGACGATGATGTTGATGATAGAAATGATGAATCAGCAGCAGCATCATCATTCCCACAATCTCCCTCGTCCGCGCTCTCATCAGCGACCACGCCATCATTATGAATCATTTCATGCCTGCTGGAAAACATGGCGAAACTCGTTCCAGGAATAGGTCTCTGGAGGACACCTTTGGCCCTATGAGACCATAACACTGCCAAGAACAACAACAGGCTGCGCAGCACACGCACAAGAATGAGAATACTCGCAGGTGTAGTTAACGACTAGCAGCTATGGACATGTTCGTTATCAGAACATCTTGCGATAACAAAACTGATCCTCACTAAGATGATAATGACAAGAATAGCGGCAACAATCGACGAACAGCTCCCGCAGGCAGTAGCCAAGAGTGTCGCACGCAGCGACTGACCACTAGATGCAGGAGAAGCCTGCGACTTTGGCAAGGCTACAGCTCTGTAAGGCTCGTCCCCATGAACTTCGGCTTGCCTGTAAGTTGAGTTGCTGTCGTCTGGGAATTTCCGTGCACTTGTCGCAAGAATGTCTTGAGCGATATCCTGTCTTACATCTTGCTATGCTGCAGTCTGCGCATTGTGGCGCACACCTCGAAATTCAGGGGATTCCAAGCTCGAGGACCCGAGGAGCCATCTCATCTACGATTCAGCTAAGACCCACATCGACCGAACCATCTCCGGCAATCGGACTAGGCCATGTGTCGTCCAACCTCAGCACTCGAGGATGCTCTTGAAAAGAAAACTTTCTCCGACACCACAAGGGGAGGTTCACAGGGTTGCGCGTTTAATCAAGACGGGGTTGCGAAGTGCATAGAAAATGGAGGCATGCAGGGGTCCTTCGGGTCTTTGGGCTGTCACATGTTCATGAGGACTGCGATATTTCTACCAGGCATCGAACACCGTTGAAACTCCTTATCTGAGACACAGCGTTTCTGGCTGTTCTCGGGACTTATATGGTGTCCCTTGGTCACACACCTCTGCTTGCTTCTTGTCGACATCCTTGCAGAGTTTCGCAGTCAGTCGCAGTTCTTGAAACTGAGGATATCAGAAACCAAGGTCAGCTCGTCGTTCGCAACATCAAGGGACCTTCAAGCCCGCCTCGTGAGGGAACACAGATTCCTGTGAGGGCCTCCGAGCTCATAGAATTTTGAAAAAGACTCTGCAGAGGCACGCAAGACCTCACAGGAATCCGGCCACAAAGCAACAAGGGTGCTGCTGGCGTAAGCAACCTGGATAAGCTTTTCGATATCTCGCCTTCCCCCAGACCCCTCCAAGGTCAGGATACCCGGCAGAAGGACTGCCATCTCAGTAAAGTCTCGCTCGTCCCCGCGCCCAATGCGGAAGCGCATCAGATGCATCTTGGGCCAGGTCTGGTTGCTTTGATTCGACTCCAATGACAAATTAATGCCGGCCCTATATTCTGTGTGCACCGGGCACACTCGACGTCCATGAACTGAGCCCTGATAAACAGTGATCCTCAGCGATGGTGACGACTCAGCTGCAGAAGGCAGCCCCTTTGCATCTACCCTGCTCCTGCACTCCTGTGACATGCGCAGCATCACCATGCCAGTCGCGTTTGGACCAAAATCGACAAGGTCGAAGACCTGGTCGGAACAAGCTCCAGTACGATTCACAGTAGCACCCAATCTGGGGCCGATGCAGTAAGGTCCCCCACACTCCCCTGCTGCCGCGTAAAGCTCACAGAAGAAATATTCCTTGTAAAACATCCGCCAGGAAGGGCGAAGCTCCTTGCGAATGAAATCAAGATCCCTCTCTGTGCCGCTTGAGTTGCACGCGGTGCTTTCTCGTCGGCTTGTGTCCGCGAGCACGAATCCCAGAGACTTCATCGATGACAGAACTTCAGGACAGAAGACCTGGCCCTCGTAGAGCGGCGCAGCACGGAGACTTTGCACCTCCAGCTTCACGAAGAGCAGATGGGTCACGAAGTCGCCTGCGGACTTCACCACTTGCAGATCCATGCCCTGGGCATCCGCCTTCACGCGTGCCACCGGGCGGCCCTGTAACCAGTCCCCAATGACGGTGCGTAGGGAAACGCAAGGCACCACCCGATGCTCTTTCAGCACAGAACACTCTTGCTCGACCCACTCAGGCCAAGAGGTACCTGACTCCAGGGATTCCCGGTTACGGCTTCGGAAGTGCTCAGAAGGCGCCAAGAGGCTGCTGCAGCCATCCACGGGGGTAACGTGGAAGACGGCTGGGCCCGTTTTGCATGCGTCCACTGCGTGGGGCAAGGCAAGAGCCCTGGGATGCTGGAGCCCAAGGTTAACGAAGTACTGGTCCCGGCGGAAGGACAGGAGGTGGCCGTACTTATCCAAGAGCGGCTCGAAGCTGATGAGAAAGCCGCCGGCCCTGTCACTGAGGAGCGAATCCAGATCCTGCCGCTCCAGCTCGAAGTTGTTCGCACCGACCTGTCCAGGAGCAACACCCCCAAAACACACAAGCCTGCATTAAGCATGAAGCTTTTCAGTGATATGTGGCTCAAGAACCACAACAGGAACAGCGAAGAAGGCCTCCAGGAAGAAGAGGTCCGGTTCCGTCGCCAGGTGCTGCCAATTCCGCTCGAAGGGTAGGTGTGCGACCTGTAGCCGAGCGAAGAGACCCTGATCCATGGCAGCGAGTCCCATGAGGCTTTAGGGTTCGGGGTTTAGGGGCCAGGGTCCCATGACAGGGATGTTCGTCTCGTGCTTGGAGGACTGAACTTTGAGCATCTTTGACAGAGCTACGAATATTCTGCTGCTGTTCCTGTTCCCACTGTCCTGCTGCTTCTGCTTCTAATTTTGACTACTACTGCTACGACGACTACTACTACTACTACTACTGCTACTACTACTACTACTACTGCTACTACTACGACAACCACCACCACCGCCACCACCACCACCACCACCACCACAACCACCACTACCGCTAGCTCTGCCACTACCACTATTTTGTATACCACGACTACCACCACCATCACCACAGGCTAACACTGCCACTGCTGCTAGGATGATGATCATATTTCCGTAACTGGCTTTTGTTTCTAGTGCTTGCCAAGACTATGAGTGCGTTGACGATGATTGCGACCGTTATGTTCATGAGGAGAAAGAGGACGATGATCATGGATAATTGCTGACTACTGCTGTTTCGTTTACTAGTAGTGCGGCCACCGTTGTTGTTCATTATGAACTCTGTTGCTTTGCTGCCTTCACTGTCGACATGTTGCTAGCATTGGCACGTTCCAAGCCCTTGCCACCCAGCCCTATACCGCAGTTTTGCGTATTGCTTATGCCAGCTTTGGGATTCAAAGGTTTCGGAGGTCCAGGTCTAGTAGCTTACGGGCCCAGGAGTTTGAGGTTTAGGGCTTTGGGGGTTCAGGCGCGTGACAAGCCTTGACCAAGCACTCCCCGAACACCTCGCGGCGGCGGAGAGCTCAAGCATTCTGCACCTTGTTTGCCTGGCCCCTACCTTGACCCTGCAAACCCTGAACCGTAAACCTGGAGCACGCGAATAGGCTATTATCGCGGGTATGCATAAAGTGATCCGAAAACACTGTGGCTTTCAATCCCTTCAATATGTTGAAACACGGGAAAACCGCGGAACTGGGGGCCTAAAGGTGCCCTGCCGAATTCAGTGCGGCTTCGCGTTTGGGGTTTATGGACTCGGAGTTTGAGGCTTCGGATTGTACTCATTTGCTTGTGGCTTGTCTTTGGAAGCCCTGACCAGGAATTTTGTTCCCTCTTAACTAGGAGTATCCTTCATACTGACATATTCAACAAGGAGCGTTTTGCAGGGCTTTGCAAGGCCACGGCGGTAGAAACTGCTGATTTGCAACGATTCCGTTTACGAAGTGGAGCCCGGAAAACATTGTCCACGGCCTGAAGCACGGGCAATGTATGCCAGGCTAGGGAACAGTCGTTTACCGGGCCCGGGCCTCTACGCGCCCCTGAGGAGTTACAGAATACCTTGTAATATGTTGCAAGTTACAGAATATATGATAATATGCTGCAATATACGATAGCATGCTATTATTTCCTGTACTATACTGTAATGTGTTATAATATACATATATTGTAGATATAATGTAGCGTAATAGCCAGGTTAAAGGCCACATTGAAGAAATACTTTCTCTAGGGCGGCCCCATCTCGAGCGTGGCTCTGAGGGGAGCTGCGCTCAGCCAAATCAAAGAGCCTTAATGTGTACAATAGGGTTTCGGGTCACAAGATAGGGTGTTGGGTCATAAGAATAGGGTTTGGGGGTATATTGTCACACATATAACGAACCAACCCTTAAAAGCATTATAGTTTTTTTTTCGATTTAGGTTCCTACATATCAGCCTCAAGAGGGCACAAGGTGCTCCCTGCAAGCGAAGCGGCTCATGGCGATGCAGAAAGACTTGTCGCGAAGTGGCCCTGCCACTTACCGGGCTTTGGGATCCAGAGAAACCCCCTGCACCTCACTTAGGAGTCCTTGTATTCAGAATCCTAACCGAGTATCTATGGAAACTTAGCGTCCAGATTCAAGCAATAGGCCGTCAGCCGTCTGTAAACCTCCCGGGAGAGCCTTACGCCTCATTGAGTGATGGTGCGGGAAGTGCCTGTAGGGTTGCACTGACGGTTCAGTGGGGCCAGACGACCGTTGGGATGACCAACATAGGAGTCTGAATAACGATTGGAATAGAGGCTTGGGGCTAAAGAGATATTACAACTGTTATAAGGACCCCGAGGGAATTAGATTGGTGACTGTTTACGCCTCCATAGAAAATCACTCCTTCTGTTGGCTCTGCTGTGAGAATGATTTGTAAAGCTCTCCGTCCTCACGTAGGCCCGAGTTCGCCAGTGCTGGCCAACGCGCAGCGCCACCTGCAGCAACCAGGCTGAAAATCTGGGCCACCTAAATCCAAATTGTTCAAGCTCTTTGCCCGTCCTCCACCCTCTTCTTGTGCAGGAGCGCTGATCGCAATGAGGCGACCTCATGGGTTTAGGGTGTAGGGTTCCAGAGGAATGCGGGCTTCCGCCAGCCAGACATGGTAATACCAGGCATAAGCATGCGTCTTCGCCGGAGGTCCCTATGAGACTGATGACGACGACCATGTGAATTCCGACGCCGAGGGGGTGGTGACAGTGGCAGCGCCTGCGTGGTCGTGGTGATGGTAGTGGTGTGGTAGGGGCTGGGCAGTGTGGGGGTGACAGGCTGACGGTCGATGAGGATGCTGCGAGAAGATGAGGACTACGACGGTAACGAAAAGATGACGACTGATATGATTTGCAAATTGATTTGGAGATGGAGCACGGAAGGCGACGACGTGATGATGAAGAGGGGATGTACCATGACAGGGAGGTGAGGGTGCCAGTGAGGATGACGGTTACTCTGAATACAAAGACTATGGCAGTGGTAGTGGTAATGGCGATGATGCTGCTAGCTTCAGCGTGCACCGAACTTGCAGTCCTGTTGCTGGCAAGGCTGACGATGACGACGAACGTGACCATGGCAGTGAGGCTGACACGGATGCTGCTGACCAGATGATGATGATTATGATGATGGTGATTACGATGGTGACGATGATGGGGATGATGGTGATGGTGATGATGGTGATGGCGATGGTGGTGATAGTGATTGTGGTTGGAGACCACGAGGAGACCACCGCCAGACCACCAGAATACCTCCGGGATTCCACCAGGATACCACTGCCAAACCGCTCCCATGTACTGGCGGATTCAGGGCACATGGAACATCCTTCCCACCCCCCAATGCTTTCCCTAATATACAATAGGCATGAAGTGCGATTGAAGGTGCTGATGAATTATCACAGGCTGTCAAGGAGCAATGTGAGGAGGATGAAGAGCATGATGATGTCGGATGAGGCTGAGGATTTGTCTGAAGATACGCCCTAAGCCCTAAACCCTAAACCCCACCAAAGGATTGCGATGGAGACGGGGACCAAAGGGAAAATCTCGAACCAGGCCTCCTCCTGCACCGATCGCTCCTCGTCGAAGCGCCAGAGTGCCGCCTTCCAAATTGTGATTCATCCTATTCTTGTTCTTACTGTTAAGATGATGATGATGATGATGATGATGATGAGGATGATGACTACTATTGCTATGAGAAAGTAAGATTATCACTATTGTTATGACACTCATTCTTATTCTTCTGAACAATTGCTGTTATTGCTGGCATGGTTGCTAGCATTGGTAAAATTAAAAACAATAGGTTTTTCTCATTTTTCGTATCAAACCGATTATGAATATTACTACTTTTGGTAGTATTACGGGGTTTTCAAAACCTGTGTAAAGCCATCTTCAAAGCCCAAGCAAAGCTTAAACACCCACACAACCAATTTCAACAAGCCATTCTTAAACTGCTTAGAAGCCCCACAGCAAACGTAGTTCTCACAAAGTTCTCAAGAAGCAATGAAAGAGCACGTAACATAGGGTCCTTAATACTTAGAATGATGTTTTGGGGTATATTATACCATTCTTATAACAAGGGATCCCCAAAATAGTATAGGTCCTCTAGGTCATTAGTAAGGCCCCCGATAGTAGAATTTCAAGCTACATCAAGAACTATTCCATGAGGAAGCGGAGGCTCCCAAGACTGCCCAAGACCACTCCAGATAATAATAAGAATACTAATAATAACAATGATAAGAATAATAAGAATAATAAGAATAAAGATAACAATAATAATAACAATAATAATAAGGGCAAAATGCGCACCACTCCAGCATAGGCTCTGGACTTCGGCGGGAACACGATTCTTGGATGTGAAAACACCAGTCGCAACCAAAATGCTCACAGTGCTGTGGCGAGATCACGATTGAAATTATTGAGACAGGAACGTGCAGGACCGTGGCGGGAAACCAATGGGCATCACCATTGCCAATAATTGCTTACTTTGGAAATTCCTTAGAATGACGGAAACCACGGCAAGGAGCCCCGAATAGCCACAGAGTGTGGGACTGCTCATTCCTTCGGAGTTTCTCGACTGAAACTGAGAAGCGGTGCTGGCAGGATCACGGTTAAGTTAAGCGGGATAAGGCTCTCGCACGATCTACCACTCCAAATCACAAGCCCTCAAGTTCGGATTCGGAAGCGCCAGAGTCTTGAAGTTTGCATCAAGGTGGCCAACCCGGCAGATGCGGCCGGCACCGGACTGTGAGAACAGGAACAGGATATTGATGGCGATTGTATAGTTCAACTGGTGCACCTAAACCCTCAAGCCTAAACCCTAAACCCTGAAGCCGTAACCACTGGCGGAAACACAGAACCGGCGTGAGCACCTGCTCACGGTCTCAGCAATCGAAGCCTTGTAGTCAGAACACGGACTGGGAAGAACAATGCCATAAGTATAACGAGGTATAAGTGTACCAAGCAGTAATCGTCGTCGTCGCCGCAGTGGTAGTGGTAGAGGCAGTGGCAGTGGCAGTGAATGTGGTAGTAGTGTAGTAGACTGTAGTAGTGTAGCAGTTGTTGTAGTGTAGTAGTGCAGTAGTTTAGTATTAGTAGCAGCAGTGGTAGTCGTCGTCGTAGTAGTAATAACTATAGTGACAATCGTAACGACAACGAAACACATCGTGATATATTAACTACCGAGACTGACCCTACAAGACCCCAAAACACTCTGTTGCCGGCCGCCTTCAGCGCAGCTCCCCGCGCCGCCCTGGCGAACAGCTTGGCGGCCTCTTCCTCCCATGAAGGCGCATACGGCAAGGCAGTGTAGGGGACGTTAGTGACTAGAAGAGAGTTTTGAAGGTTTTGAAAGGAATAGTACTGGCAATGATTCAGTCTTCTCAGGTTTTCTAGGATTTTGGTATTGGGATTGACAGTAGGGGATTGAATGTTGTTTAGGTTTCCCAGGGTTTCAAGCTCTGTGGAGCTAGATTCGGTCGTTACCTCTTGGAGGTTAACATTACATCGTAAAGGCAGTTTGTTGTCACTGTCGTAGCTGCTCCGAGCATGACTACTGCGTTTTCCCTGTTGGTGTGGTTCTGATGTTGTTTTTCGTGGTGGTACACTGTGGTGTTGTTGCTGCTGCCGGGTGAGCCTCCTTTGCTGTAATGCTGTAGGGAACAAAGAGAACACCGCTTGTCAGTGACACAGGTCTTCCTGTCCCTGTGGAAGTGTTATAGCCACACGAAGGTGCAAACGAATATCGTGTGGTCCTGCATGATGTACGAGGGATCCAGTGCTGATTTTGGCGTCTGAGGACTGATTGCGCAACTGTCCAGCCAACTTTTCGTTGGCGTTGCCGATTGAAAAGCAGTGGCGTTCCTGTTCAGGCATTCCATCTGCAAAGATGGAAATATGCGAAAAGAGGCTCCACCCTGTTTGGGTGGGATCATGCAAGCAATTCGAGTAGTCCGTCTTGAACATACAAATGCATACTTCTGACTTCTGACAACTCAGGAAACCAATCGTGATCACTACCTACTGCACTCATACTGTAACCAAGTGTTCCTGACCAACTACTGGAGCTCCCGCTTGAATTAGCAATTAGCAAACCGACGGATTCCTGTGCCTTGTAGAGACACCACGGTCACCATCCATAAAACGGAAGTAAAACTGTTTACAAATTGAAGATCAGGCGGGGGCTGCACTGCCAAAAGGAAGCGGCATCTGCAAGCATGTTCTGTTTGCACACTTCCTGGCCTCTGCGGGATATGGTCGAAACCCCAAGGTTGCCACCCGAGAGGACTGCCGCCAAGACTGCACCTGGACCCACCACATCCCGTAGCGATGCCTCTGAGTCTGAATTCTCGAGACCGTGCGGAAAGGACCGACCGGCCATGGGTCCCTCGATACTTGCCGTACTTCCGCATCCCAAACCACACTTCTGCAGCCCGAACTCACCAGCAATGCCTTGGTTGAGGCCGCAGGCTAGGGCTAGCCCGGCTCGCCCGTCTTACGGATAGCGTAAATTCCATGCCTACAGCTACCCCAGAAGCACTAAACCCTAAACCCGACACCCTAAACCCTAAACCATCACGGTGAAGCCACGCGCATCGACATCGATCAGCCTGCGAGCTTCCACCAGCAAGGCTGGGGGAATGCAACAGGCTGCGAACGCAATGGAGTCGGCCACCTGGCAAGCAAACCTAAACCTAGTGACCTAAGAGAGAGAACCCCACTATAGATCCCTTTAAAGGGAACCCTAAACCCTAAACCTAAGATTCCGAAATAGGGTCCACCTGCACACCGTCCGTGAAGATCAGGGGCCCGTCTGGCTCCGACATGGCTGCAAAGCCAAGGCTGGAGCTTGCCACGATGAAGGCCAGATTTCTGGGCTGTGGGCTTTGAAGGCTTTCGGAGCACCCTACAAGAGGAGCAAGAATTCTACCCGTTTCTACGACTGTGAACTCAACATCAAAAAGAGTGCAAATCCGGTTCTCAACCACAGCCACGGGGTCGCTGCCAAGCCCTGAACTGCTGCAGGAACCACGTGCAAACTCCATCCCGCTTCCTTCTGTAGGATCTTGAAGAAGTCATGCACTTTGTTGGCACTCGTGTAGTCGGTGAAATTGACAATCGCCGCGGACATAGGCCGATTAGCGATTGTGTCGTACGGCACATGTACAAGATTGTACCTCCCAGCGCCTTCGGCATTCAACAATTGAAGGAGCATGCTTCGATTGAGCTTGAGTGGGAGCCCAGACAGCATCAGCGTGGTTGTACCGGCATCGAGCATGACTGTCCTTCTTTAAACGTGCGTCGGGAGGTTCGTCCGCACAAATGCTTTGAGCCGTCGCAGCCACAGCAGCAGTACAGAAAGCTGAAATCATCCATAAAGTGGACATGAACCTAGGGCCCCCCTTAGAAGGGGCGCGGAAATCCAAACCGAACACCCACGGCCTGGCGCTGCTTCTTCCGCTGCCGCTTCTGCAACCAACGTTGCCAGTGGCACAGCGCGGAAGCGGCCAGGACCAGGTACCAATGCATTATGGCCTGCGTGGAGGTTCATGGGTAGTTACACGTGGGGTTATAAGTCTCCTAATATGATCTAATGTGGGTTATAACAAAAGTTACCCTACTTATAACCCTACTTCTAAGTACCCATGAACCTCCAAGTGGAGATGGATGCTTCCAGGGGCAGTGCTCCGGCCGGCAATTTCGGAATTGTTCAGGCGAGTCAACTAAGCTGCATATGGTCGCCGGGTCTGTTCACATTGATACTGACCCCGACAATCATGTGTCGGTGCCGCTGCCACTGAAGCTGCTGTTGCCGGTGCTGCTAACAACTTTCGATTGCCGTCGTTCAGCCCTGAAGCATTTAAGGTCCAACTGGCTGCTTTCGGAAGCAATCTTATCATGTTTGCTTGCGCTGGTGTTCTATTACTACACTACCACCGCAGCTTGATTGTTGGACCATCAACTGATGCTGCCTTTTTTCGCATGTGACTCTTCTCCTCCCAACTATGACTCTGTGTGCTTAGTCTTCGTCGTCTTGAGACTATCGATTCTTGGCTACTGGCTACTGAAAATGACTGTGATTCTACTGTTACTACTGGCTCGAACGCCCATTTGGAATACGGCTTGCGACCTCCACAGTGTTTGCCGATCGGCTGGTGATTGGAGTTGATTCTTGAAAGCCCAGCCCTCAAAACTCTTCAGTGAACTAACCGCAACCGGCAACCCACAAATCGGCAACGTTGCATACTCGCATTTGCGGGTTCTCAAAATAAAAACCAGGGAAACTAGGTACCTTCAAGACAGCCGTGCGAACACCACCGACTGCTGGAATGGTATGGCTTGGTCTCCCAGGTGTAGAGGCTTCCGTAAAGACCCTACACCCTAACTTAGGATTCGTGGATCTCCTGACCTCCGTCTCTTTCACTTGCTCCTGGCGCCACTTGCTGACCTTGTGGGGGGATGGGGTGCTTCCCCCAACGTTCGGCTGTGCAGGAAAGTCACCACTAGTCGATACTGAGACGATACTTCTAAAGTTTCAGGTTTGGGTTTTGGGATTTAGAGCTTACTCTCATGTGCTGTTGCGCCAATGCTTGCTGCAAGCGCTTTCAGAGTGGACCGGGCTATCATCCTTGGCAGCCATGTGTGCCCATCATCACCCTTACCGCTAACACCTTGTCATCGTCCTCCTACTTCTCACTCATGTTCATCATCGCCATCATCATCGCCAGCACCACTGCGACATATCGGCCATGCATCACCATCAGCATCAGCATCATCAAGATCAGTCTCATCAATAACCACCTCCAGAGGCAGCAGCAACAGCGATAACAGCAGCAGCAACGGTAACAGCAACAGCCACGACGACACCCCCACCAACCCCCACCACCACCACCACCACCAGCAGCAACAGCAAAGTCATCAGCAGAAGCTGCAGAAGCTCTGCCTCTATGACCACTAATCACAATAGCAATACTTCAGACCATTAAAACCAATAATACTGCCGCTACTACTGCTGCTACTACTACTACTACTACTACTACTACTACTACTACTACTACTACTACTACTACTACTCCTACTCCTACTCCTACTGCTACCTGCTACCTGCTACCTGCTACCTGCTACCTGATACACCTTACACCTGCTACTGCCACTGCCACTGCGACTGCTACTGCTACTGCTGCTGCTACTGCTGCTGCTGCTGATGCATTTGTTTTTGCAAGTGCTTTCGTCGTCGCTGCGGTTGATTTTGTTTTTTATGACAGAGGCGGCAGTGGGAGCAGTGCCGTTGCCTCTGGCTGTCGGTGTAGCTGTTGTCGTTGTTAGTGTCCGCGTCAGTTGCTGCCGTTGCTAGGAAGACAAGCCCTAAATGGGAGTTTCCGAAATAAGGAACCCTTTAACCCTTTATGTAGTACCCTAACTAGCAGGATCCTTACTATAAGCACCCCAAAACAAGGTCCCCCCAATATTCGGAAACCCCGAACTCGAGATCCCTGAAGTCCAGAATCCGAGATTTTCAGCCAAGGGGCCGCCGAATGCCACTGGTGCAGCCAATATCTTGCAGCCTTCCAGTGACATATATATGTATATGATATAATATAATATACTATAATTATTAATATACATATATATATATATATGTATATATGTGAATCTGTATATACATATATACATATTGTGCATACTATGAGATCAATACCGGCTATAATATATCGTCTGCAACTATATGTTCTGTACTATGTTCCCTACAATATGTAATATGTAGGCTTCCGGCCAAGGCGAGGATTAGAGGCTCCAGAGCTGCTTCTCTGCTGCTTGGCTGAGGCCGCCAGAGAAGCAGGAAACTAGTCCTAGAAGGGCCTAAACCCTAAACCCTAAATATTGACAGCACGAACCGCATCACTAAGAGTATTGGTAGTATTGGTACTATTGCTGAGAATAAGGTTACAAATTGTATATTTGCGGTAATGCAACAAAGAATAGAACATTATGTGCAATACGTATAATGATGCCGTGTATCCTGTGACAGAGAGCCTCAAGAGACTCAAGTCAAGCCGAAAGCCTTTGGGCACAGCAACCTCCTTGGCCCTCGTGGCAACAAAGCAGGCCACTGCAATGCGCTGCTGCCGTGCCCGCTGGAAGAAGCACCTGCCCCGCCCCGCAAGCCAAAACTTGATGGGATCCTTGCATGCTCTGTTGTCCCTAAACCTCAAAACCGAAGTCCAATTGCAGATCTCATGTAGTAGACCTCCTAAAGTGAATGGTTCAGCCTTCGAAGACGGCGTGAACACTCGGCGAAATTGACGAATCCGAACAAGGCGTCTGCATCCGGGCTACAGGAGGGCGGAGCAGGTGCACTGCAGCAGTCTGCGCTCGTGAAGCTGGGTAGCTGCCGCTACACCATGCCTCCGACGACATGAAGCAGTCTTCGAACGTGCAGGTATAGTGTTTTATAATGGCTTTATCTGGGGTATCTAGGGATAGAGCTGGGGGGTTTTATAGGCCGTCATTTTTCGGTTTCGGGGGCTGAGCGATATCCATTTGCACGATGCCCCAACAAGCAAGCCTTTGTCAATGGCAAGCTGACCAGCCTTCGTACACAGCGTTCCTTCAGCTCCTCTCGCCACCTGTGAATAACAGATCGAACCAAAGGAGATTCGGCTTTCAGGGATGCTTGAATGCTATTCCACGCAACCCTCGTCTGAAGGCTGAAGGGTAGGCGGAGGGCAATGGCACCACGGATATTTCAATCATGGGCCACGTGAGTGGCAGCCTACCCAGGAGCCTGCGCCGAGTCATCATAATACTTACCTATACTATCTTGGTGGTTCCTTATTATCAATATAGTATAATATACTCCAAAAACCTAGTCTAATTATGAAGGCCCTATATTATAGTACCCTTAAATTGTAGCCCTTTCAGGTCCCTTTCAAGGAGCCCTAGTCTAAGTCTTAAGGCCCCTATCTTAGCATCAGAACGGCTCTGCACCTTCGGAGGGCACGACGACGGGCGCTGGCGGCCAGGGCTGCAGCGAGTGGACGGCATCGGCTCGCGAGATGCATCTGCTCGGCCCTCAGGGGGTATAGTACATAAAGGAGTATAGTACGTAGTACTAGACTATAAGGCTTTCGGGTTTTGAGTTGAGGTCTAGGTTCGAGGACAACCAAAAAAATGTCATGCCGCGGGGGTGCTAGTATTTCCAACTTTTGTCAGTGGGATCCGTGCGAGTCCAGCAAGCGATCCGCAATCCGCAACGATTTCGCCAAACAGCCCTCATCTAATTGAGGATTATATGCATCAAATTTAGAACCTATCTGACCCCTATAACCCTAAAGCCTAAACGCCCCCATATTGGTTTGCCTTGTGAAGCTAGCATGTCGAATTGAGGAGCGCGCGCCGCGCGACTCAAGCATCAACCGGCAAAATCCCTAAACCCGTAAACCCTAAATAAACCCTATAGGGCCTGCGGCGATGGTTCTCTCGGAAGCGGCCCAGCGCTCGGCGCAGCGCGCGCCGGGCGGCCTGCGTCCGCAGCTGCTCTGCCGCCATGGCGGCCTCGCTGCGCTTGGAGCGGCGCAGATCGGCGTAGCTTCGCAGATGCCTCAGAACCTTCCAGAACGCAGCGCTCACAGAAATGGCAAGCGGCAAGAAGGCTGCAAATGCACACCCCTGCCTGGCACTGCAACCGGCGCGGCCGATGCTGGCAAGCCTGAGTGTAGCCTCAGGTACCGTGCATGGCCGATCAAGCATGTCATCAACCAGGCCTGATTCAGGAAGCCCGGGGAACACTTGTAAAATAGTATAATAATATAGGAGCCTGAATAATTAGAAAATGGTAATCGGGCCCATTATACTACAATTGTAACAAGGAACCTCCCAAAATAGCTTTGGTAATAATTTAAGCCGCTATATATGCTCAGGCCCCACGTGTTGCACTCTTGCTTGCGTCCGGTGGCAGCCGGGGCGGGCGAAGGCAAGCCAGGCCACCAGGCATCTGTGTGACAGGGCATCTGCCTCGAGCACATGAACAAACTAAAATAGGGGCCTTATTAATTCGAATGGGATTTTGATACTAATAATAACAATAAGGAACCCCCAAAACAGTATAGGTAGTTAGAAAGGCCCCAATACTAGAATGAACCAATCATTGCCCTAGATCCGAAGTTCTATGTAACAAAAGCCCTCAGGCCCTCAGGCATAAGGCCTGCGACCCAAACTCCTCAGCCCAAACATTCACCGATCCGAGGTACATGACTTTTCCCCAGGGCTATACATTGACGATACCTCTGCTCGGCCCTCGCTGCTCCTCGCGGGTGTGCATCCGATGGGGCGGGGGCGCATGGGGCGGTACGGGTTGTCGATATGCTGGTCTGGTGGGAGCCAGCTTTCTCTTCGCTTTCAAGCCTCTTAGAGTTTGGCTCCACCGGGCTGCACCAGACCATGCCTTGATGCAGAAATCGGTAGAGTCTCAAAGACCACGGTGCCGGCATGACATCTCCAAGCTCCACGATCTTGATGCTGAAAAGCCCGAGAGCCCGTTTAGAGCTTCATCGGAAACTGTTGTCATTGTTAAGCTTGTCGCAGGTGAATTCTGCCGAATCTACATCTCAGCATACTTGCACACAACACAAGACTTCATTCAGAACCCATACGTCACCCAACTTTCCCTGACAATGGCTTGTATACATCCCCCAAGTGCAGGAGCGTGACTGCAAACCCTGGGACCCTCTAGCCCAAATCATGCTACGCACCGAAACCCCCAGCCAAACACGACAAAACCCGGCAGTCAGAGGCCTGTCCTGACAGAAAGCAGGACCAGGCCTGCCGCGTCCGCTTGTATTCGTGGGTCTGAGGAAGCGACTACAGCAGCAAGAGGAATGAGACATGTCATCAGTGATGGTGACTGGTAATAGCATGAAAATATAGAGTTCGTAGTGAAGATTGTACGACATGCGCATTGTAATCACCACCAGCCTCACCCGCACCACAGCAGCAGCAGCACCACCACCACCATCAGCAGCAGCAACACCAACACCACCCGTAGCCCTGGCACTGGCACCCACACCCACCACCGTCACTGCCAACTTGTTTACCAACCCGTAAACTTGAACCCTGAGTCCGAAACGTCCGAAATCCCGAAGCCCTCGTTTCGAAGTCCGACATCCTCAATCCCAAACCCGTACCGCCAAGATAACCCCGAAAGAAACTTCTGGCCTGGCGGAGCAGGGTGCGCCGGCGGCAGCGTACTGCCGAGCGGCGCTGCTGCTCTTTCCGCTGTTCTGAGCGGGAGAGCCGAAGATTTGATGGGCTCGGGTAGGGCCTGTTTCCGATGGGTTTTTAGGTGGACCTTATGTTGGGTCCTTATAGTAAGGATCCTACTACTTAGGGTTTTTTTAAGGGTCCCCACCTTTTCGGAACTACTTGTCAACTGAAGGCTCCTTATTCAGGCTGGCTCCGAGTTTCAGGTGTAGAGCTGGGGACAGCCGGGCCGGATGAAGCACTGAAAGATCGCTGGGAGGCTCCAGGAAGGTCTTAGGTAATATAGGGGCCTTAATAATCAGAATAGGATTCCTTGAAAGGGGTCTATAGAGCTATAGAGGCTACATACGGGTTCTGTAACATAGGGGCCTTGACAATTCGAATAGGGTATTGGGGTATATTGTACTAAGACTATACTATAATTCCCAAAACCCTTTTGGCAATTATTAATGCCCCTATAGTTTGGAAGCTTCAGGCTGACGTCCTCAGCTTCCGGATCTCTGGAACTGTTGGCCTTGAAAGAGTCCCGTCATATGGGTAGTTCTCTAAACTAGGGCCCGGTTTTAGATCCCAACATGATGCGGCACCCTTACAAATAAAGGTGGCTCTAATTTAGAGAACTACCCATATGACCCTGCTACAGATCCGACTGCGCACAGAAGATCGTGAAAAACGAAGAGACGAAGTCAGCCGACGAAGATCGATCGGACTCGATCCTCCAGGTTCGAGAGACCTTGATAATTAGAATAGGGTTTGGGGTCCATTATACTGTAACTATCATAAGAAACTAATGTTGGTAAGTATTTAGGCCTCTATAGTATTGCGGGTTTCCGGACAAGGCGCGCTTCTGGCTGTAGGCCGCCAGGGCCGCAAAAGCGCGGCGACACAGTGGCAGGCTCTGCCGCTTCTGCAGCTGTCGGATCCTACGGAGTTTCATGAGGTTGCTTAGTATAGGCGCCTTAGTTATTAGAATAGCGGGCTTTTGCAATGGCTTTGCACGGGATCTTGTTCAGGTTCTTCCAAGTGTCTGTTGGGCTGCTTCTTCGATCCCTGCAAGATTCCGCAAAACTCAACCGCAACAGCCCCAAATCAAATCCCTAAACCCCAAACCCTAAACCGCAAAGCCCAAACACTAAACCCCGAGATCCCTACTTGAGCACCACTTGCTGCAACATGCTTTGGCATCCTTTCACCTGGAGCGCAGAAAAGGCACGGAAACCAACTAGAATTATGGATTTTAATACTCTTCTGAGTTATCATTATTCTTCTGATTATCATTACTAAACATACTAAAAGATGAGGTATGACGGAAGTGTCTGGCACACCAAAGCAACTGGCGGCTGTCCTGCAGCAATCTCGCCAGGCATCAAGAATCCCTCGCCGTCGCAAATCCTCCACGGCCGCGGCCCCTGGTCTTCAGTCGCAGGTGCGGCTTTATTTCTCGTGCTTTCTGCGGCTTCGCCGGCTTATTACACCTTCCGCCTTGGACCTCTGTACCCTAAACCCTCTAGACCCCTAAACCCTGAATTTTGAGCCCCTCAACCCTAAGCTTCAAACCCCAACCCGAAATGACCCAAACGTGGACGGTGCCGAGGGGCTCTTGCCCAGAAGGGGCCGCTTCTTCGCGCACTCCACTGCATCCTGTCCCGACCAGGGCAAAAACATGTTTAGAGCTCAGGCGTTGTTTTTCAACCCTCATGCCTTTTTGCACAGCTCAGGCTTTAGGGTTGAGGGTTTAGGCACAAAGAGCCATAGGAGTGAGATAATAAGAGCAACTGGACACCAAACCCTAACCACAAACCCCAAACCCTGGACCATCTTGCACGAGTGATTGGAGAGATAAGACCTGATGGAAAGACGGGAACATCGAGAAAAGCAACAACACTCAAGCAATAGAAGACCGTCGATGTCTGGAGATGACCAAGATAAGTCCAAGCAATGACTAAGTAGTACACATGACACTGATGGACCGATGGCGATGATTACGACGATGATGGCTGCGAGTGAGAGGGAGGACCCCTACCACTACCACCGCCACTGCTACTACTACTGCTGCTGCTGCTACTACTACTACTACTGCGCGACTGTATCAAGACACTCAGAAGTAGAACAGCCAAAACCCAGCTCAGAACAGATCGAAAGCGGTCCCTCCAAGCGCTGAAGGCTGTCCGCAGGCTTCGCAGCTCCCGCTCCAGCACCTCGGCTTAAAACTTAAGACAAGGGTTCGGAGTTTGGGGTTTGGGCCCGTTTAGGGTTGTGGGTTAAGGGCAGGAGTATAGACAGTTCGCTTGGGTGTTGCTCTCAGATCGTGATTACCTGCACTCGGATTCGGATTCAATTCTTCGGGGCTGGTGTTCAGGTTTGCCCCAGTTTCAGCTGAAGGCGCATTCTCGCTGGAGCATCCTCTGTACATATTGTCGACAACAGAGCCCCAAAGCAGCGAAAAGCCTTGTAACTCTAAATATAGCCAAGCCTCCCCCAACACCAAACAAGGCTTCACAATCAAGGTCCAATCCCCCAATGAAGGAATCCAATTCCTACAGGGTTCATATTCTTTTCGGTTATATATGAGGTCTTAAACTACATTGGGACTTTCATTAACGAACCGAGACATTTTGTATCATGCCGAAGGCACAGCGGCCTGCACCACTACAGCGGCCAAGATAGGCATGGCATGGCAGCTTTCGGTGCCGTGGGGCGTAGGGGATCTTCGAAGGAACTTTGGTTGTTGACGCGGACTTGGCAGCTTCGGATACTTGCCTATAGTAAGTAGGTAAGTAGGTCATACCTTTCGGAGACTTACTTAGTGAGTAGTAGTGTATGTCATAAGTACGACTATGCTCAGGAGAACACCAATTGTATAGGATACTTAGAACTGTGGTTTAGGGTTGAGGTGATGCAGCCTTTGGGCAATGCTGTGCGCTTCATGTATCTATCAACTGTCCATCATCGAAATCTCTTGTAACTTCCGACCGTCAGAATGCTTCAAGCATTTACCAGGTGTCCTTTTTCAAAGACGACAGACTGCTCCAATCTTTTTAAGACATAGGGCCGACGAACCGAGGTCACTTCGGTGCCGGACCTCAGGGTAAACTGCAAGGCGTGTCCCCGCTTGACACAGCCCAAGCTTGAACCAATCGGCGGCGTGAAGAGGACGCGGTCTCACTCCTAGTCCTGGCAAAAGCCCAAATCCACGATGCTGCATGTCTGCAGCCCGCATGCACGAAGATTCGCCGCTCTACAACGTACCCCCATGGGCTCCCTGCGATTCTTGTGACAGCGCTCTGTCCTCAAACCCTCCCATGTTTGCGCCTGTGCTTGCACCTGTGCTGTGAGTAGATGGCGACAGCCAGGCCCTGGCATTCACCAGGGTTTAGGGTTTAGGGGTCTCAGTCATGACATGCAGAACATGTTGACATAAGTAGACATGCAGGAAAACAAAATGCAAGATTAAACGAACCTCTCAGAAGAAAAACTGCAACCTGTGAGCATTGTGACGGTCGTCAGCATGAGCTGCTGCTGCCGAAAAGGCAGTGACGGACACCTAAAATAATGAGGAGTCTGACACCAGAAAAATTGTTGAAACAAGAATCAACACCGACACAAGAGTGCAGCCATCCTTTTCCACGGTATAACACGCAACCACAATAAACATGTGCTACGATGCCAACAGCATCAAAGCTGCGGAAACGACAGCAGTAATAAGAACCAACATAGCAGCGACAGTCCTTAAAATCAATAGGTTCGAACCCGAAAACTGCGAACTCCCAAACTCTTTCATCCGAAAGCATCCTGAACGCCGAACTGGTCTCGAAGCCCCAGAAAGCGCACGAAGTCGGAACGTGTTCCGGATACAGCATTTTGGGTTTGGGATTCGGGCCTCGGGTCTATTGTCTTGGCATGCATGTCTTAAGCAAGAGATCAGGAGCCCAGTATTCGTGTAAAAACCACAGGGTTTGTCGCTTTGTTCGCCGTTCCCTGAATCCGCCCACCGACCGGGTCGAACTGCTCCCCCTGCTATTGGTTGAAAGGCCGACGCTGGGAGACAAACCCTCAAAAACTTGTCCAGCTGATGCTGATGATGCTCGCCCTGTGGTTCCCTGAATCCGCCGACCGACCGGGTCGAACTGCTCCCCCTGCTATTGGTTGAAAGGCCGACGCTGGGAGACAAACCCTCAAAAACTTGTCCAGCTGATGCTGATGATGCTCGCCCTGTGGTTCCCTGAATCCGCCGACCGACCGGGTCGAACTGCTCCCCCTGCTATTGGTTGAAAGGCCGACGCTGGGAGACAAACCCTCAAAAACTTGTCCAGCTGATGCTGATGATGCTCGCCCTGTGGTTCCCTGAATCCGCCCACCGACCGGGTCGAACTGCTCCCCCTGCTATTGGTTGAAAGGCCGACGCTGGGAGACAAACCCTCAAAAACTTGTCCAGCTGATGCTGATAATGCTCGCCCTGTGGTTCCCTGAATCCGTCCACCGACTGGGTCGAACTGCTCCCCCTGCTATTGGTTGAAAGGCCGACGCTGGGAGACAAACCCTCAAAAACTTGTCCAGCTGATGCTGATAATGCTCGCCCTGTGGTTCCCTGAATCCGTCCACCGACTGGGTCGAACTGCTCCCCCTGCTATGGGTTGAAAGGCCGACGCTGGGAGACAAACCCTCAAAAACTTGTCCAGCTGATGCTGATGATGCTCGCCCTGTGGTTCCTGAATCCGCCCACCGACCGGGTCGAACTGCTCCCCCTGCTATTGGTTGAAAGGCCGACGCTGGGAGACAAACCCTCAAAAACTTGTCCAGCTGATGCTGATGATGCTCGCCCTGTGGTTCCCTGAATCCGCCCACCGACCGGGTCGAACTGCTCCCCCTGCTATTGGTTGAAAGGCCGACGCTGGGAGACAAACCCTCAAAAACTTGTCCAGCTGATGCTGATGATGCTCGCCCTGTGGTTCCCTGAATCCGCCCACAGACCGGGTCGAACTGCTCCCCCTGCTATTGGTTGAAAGGCCGACGCTGGGAGACAAACCGTCAAAAACTTGTCCAGCTGATGCTGATGATGCTCGCCCTGTGGTTCCGTCCACCGACTGGGTCGAACTGCTCCCCCTGCTATTGGTTGAAAGGCCGACGCTGGGAGACAAACCCTCAAAAACTTGTCCAGCTGATGGCTGGGAGACAAACCCTCAAAAACTTGTCCAGCTGATGCTGATGATGCTCGCCCTGTGGTTCCCTGAATCCGTCCACCGACTGGGTCGAACTGCTCCCCCTGCTATTTGAAAGGCCGACGCTGGGAGACAAACCCTCAAAAGCTTGTCCAGCTATGCTGACGATGCTCGCCCTGTGGTTCCCTGAATCCGTCCACCGACTGGGTCGAACTGCTCCCCCTGCTATTGGTTGAAAGGCCGACGCTGGGAGACAAACCCTCAAAAGCTTGTCCAGCTGATGCTGATGATGCTCGCCCTGTGGTTCCCTGAATCCGCCCACCGACCGGGTCGAAATGCTCCCCCTGCTATTGGTTGAAAGGCCGACGCTGGGAGACAAACCCTCAAAAGCTTGTCCAGCTGATGCTGATGATGCTCGCCCTGTGGTTCCCTGAATCCGTCCACCGACTGGGTCGAACTGCTCCCCCTGCTATTGGTTGAAAGGCCGACGCTGGGAGACAAACCCTCAAAAACTTGTCCAGCTGATGCTGATGATGCTCGCCCTGTGGTTCCCTGAATCCGTCCACCGACTGGGTCGAACTGCTCCCCCTGCTATTGGTTGAAAGGCCGACGCTGGGAGACAAACCCTCAAAAACTTGTCCAGCTGATGCTGATGATGCTCGCCCTGTGGTTCCCTGAATCCTGACTCACTGCTCCCCCTGCTATTGGTTGAAAGGCCGACGCTGGGAGTGCTGATGATGCTCGCCCTGTGGTTCGCTGAATCCGTCCACCGACTGGATCGAACTGCTCCCCCTGCTATTGGTTGAAAGGCCGACGCTGGGAGACAAACCCTCAAAAACTTGTCCAGCTGATGCTGATGATGCTCGCCCTGTGGTTCCCTGAATCCGTCCACCGACTGGGTCGAACTGCTCCCCCTGCTATTGGTTGAAAGGCCGACGCTGGGAGACAAACCCTCAAAAACTTGTCCAGCTGATGCTGATGATGCTCGCCCTGTGGTTCCCTGAATCCGTCCACCGACTGGGTCGAACTGCTCCCCCTGCTATTGGTTGAAAGGCCGACGCTGGGAGACAAACCCTCAAAAACTTGTCCAGCTGATGCTGATGATGCTCGCCCTGTGGTTCCCTGAATCCGTCCACCGACTGGGTCGAACTGCTCCCCCTGCTATTGGTTGAAAGGCCGACGCTGGGAGACAAACCCTCAAAAACTTGTCCAGCTGATGCTGATGATGCTCGCCCTGTGGTTCCCTGAATCCGTCCACCGACTGGGTCGAACTGCTCCCCCTGCTATGGGTTGAAAGGCCGACGCTGGGAGACAAACCTTCAAAAACTTGTCCAGCTGATGCTGATGATGCTCGCCCTGTGGTTCCCTGAATCCGTCCACCGACTGGGTCGAACTGCTCCCCCTGCTATGGGTTGAAAGGTCGACGCTGGGAGACAAACCCTCCAAAACTTGTCCAGCTGATGCTGATGATGCTCGCCCTGTGGTTCCGTCCACCGACTGGGTCGAACTGCTCCCCCTGCTATGGGTTGAAAGGCCGACGCTGGGAGACAAACCCTCAAAAACTTATCCAGCTGATGCTGATGATGCTCGCCCTGTGGTTCCCTGAATCCGTCCACCGACTGGGTCGAACTGCTCCCCCTGCTATTGGTTGAAAGGCCGACGCTGGGAGACAAACCCTCAAAAACTTGTCCAGCTGATGCTGATGATGCTCGCCCTGTGGTTCCCTGAATCCGTCCACCGACTGGGTCGAACTGCTCCCCCTGCTATTGGTTGAAAGGCCGACGCTGGGAGACAAACCCTCAAAAACTTGTCCAGCTGATGCTGATAATGCTCGCCCTGTGGTTCCCTGAATCCGTCCACCGACTGGGTCGAACTGCTCCCCCTGCTATGGGTTGAAAGGCCGACGCTGGGAGACAAACCCTCAAAAACTTGTCCAGCTGATGCTGATGATGCTCGCCCTGTGGTTCCTTGAATCTAACTGCTCCCCTACTATGGGTTGAAAGGCCGAAAGGCCGACGCTGGGAGACAAACCCTCAAAAACTTGGCCAGCTGATGATGCTCGCCCTGTGGTTCCCTGAATCCGTCCACCGACTGGGTCGAACTGCTCCCCCTGCATTGGGTTGAAAGGCCGACGCTGGGAGATAAACCCTCAAAAACTTGGCCAGCTGATGCTGATGATGCTCGCGCTGTGGTTCCCTGAATCCGTCCACCGACTGGGTCGAACTGCTCCCCCTGCTATGGGTTGAAAGGCCGACGCTGGGAGACAAACCCTCAAAAACTTGTCCAGCTGATGCTGATGATGCTCGCCCTGAGGTTCCCTGAATCCGTCCACCGACTGGGTCAACTTGCCACGCGCTTGAAGGCCCGGGGAGCTGATGATGCTGGCAACGTGGTTCAATGAATCATGTTGTTACCCTTGCTGAGCGGTTCACCCTGAAATCCGACCCAAAAGTGACGGCTAGCACACCCAGGGTCCACTCGCACTAGCCGACACACCTCCAAACGATGCTCG